AATGACTAGTCTGATTGTTTCATGTCTCGCTACAGGTGCAAACACTTCAGAGTAATCTAGCCAAGCTTCTGTAGAGAGACTTTTCCTACTAACATTGCTTTGTGTTTTCCAATTGATCCATCTGGCTTTAGCTTCTTCTTGAAAACCCATCTGACGCTGATGGCTTTCTTGCCTTCTGGAAGTTTTGTCAGCTTCCAAGTCTTGTTTCTCTTTATAGCATCAAGTTCTTCTTTCATGGCCTACAACCAGACTTGTTGCTTAAGATCCTCTTCCGTACTCATGGATTCAGAGTCTACTAACATTTCACATTGAATGACTTCTCCTTCGAAGTCTCCTTCAATGTCTTATAACATGTCAAACTCTGTAAATCTTCTTGGGATACTTCTGACTCTTTGTTGCCTCTGAATTTGAACTTCAGAACCTCATACACCAGAACTTTCCCTTTCAAAAGCTCTTGCTTCATTGGACTTTCTCCAAAACCTTGACTATCTTCAAAGTCTTGAAAATTCCTAGAGTATGAATCACCATCGAAGTCAGAGTCAGAATCATCTTCACCTTCTGTATCTTCTTCAGAGTCAGAGTCTTTACCAGCTTCAGAAACATATGTTTCTGACTTTTCTTCAGGAGTTCTCTCATCAGAGTTAGGATGAGACCTTTCCCAATTTCAGACTTCTAATTATTTTACAATGACGTCTCTGCTGATCTCAACTTTGTTAGTTTATGGAAAATAAAGTTTGTACGAACCCGTCTTTTTGTACCCCACCAGTAATATTACTTTACTTCTATCATCCAACTTCTGTCTTCTGGCTTTTGGGACATGTTTGTAACATACAGAACTAAACACCTTTAGATGACTAATACCTTGCTTATCTCCTGTCCACATTTGAATAGGAACTATTACCTTCAGCTTCTTCGTTGGACATTTATTGAGCACATAACATGCAGAGGCTCCCCACAAAGTATGAGGAAGCTTCTTCTCTTTCAGCATGCTTCTCACCATATCAAGCAAAGTATGGGTTCTTCTTTCATCAAGACCATTATGTTGAGGAGTATAGGGAGCAGTAACCTCATGTTCAATTCCATTCTCCTCACAGAACCTTCTGAATTTTGTAGAGTTATACTCACCACCACCATCAATTATAAGAATCTTTAGAGTTTGGCCACTCTAATTCTCAACCTTCAGTATGAACTTCTTGAATTCAGCAAACACCTCGTGTTTGAACTTTATGAGAGATACCCAGGTCATTCTGATGAACTCATCAACAAATGACACAAAGTATTTATTCCCTCCAGTTGATGTTATTGGAAATAGACCGCATATATCATAATGCACTACTCCCAAGGCATGCTTTTCTCTTGGAGCTACTTATGATGAAAATGGTAATCTTGGTTGCTTCCCTTCAATGCACACCTTGCATGACTTCTCAAGCTTCTTGATTGTAGGAATTCCATGTACCAGCTTCTTTGATTTCAGATGCTCTAAGCTTCTAAAATTTAGATGATCAAATCTTCTGTGCCACAACTCACTCTCCTTGACAAAATTTGTTGCACTAAGACATTCAGAGTCTGCAGCTCTAACATTCACCTTGAATATTTTGTTCCTTCCCTGTTCTGACTCTATAATCAGCTTCTGATTATACTCATACAGCTTCAGAATATTTCCCTTCATGGTAACTGAGATAGTCATACAACTTCAGAATATTTACCTTCATGGTAACTGAAAAACCTTTCTCAATCAGTTTCCCCACACTCATCAGATTGCTTTTCATGCCAGGTACATACCATATATTCTAGATCGCTGTTGTTTTCCCATTGTTTAGAATGATTCTGACATGTCCCATACCTTCTGCATTGAGGTATTTATCATCAGCACACTTAATCTTTGTACTCTTCCCAGGGTCAAAAATCAACCAACCATTTCTTGTTTCCAGTAAGATGGTTTGAACACCCCGTGTCTATATACCACCATTCTGATGATTCATATTATGAGGTTCAGAAGCCAACAATAGCACATGTTCATCATCAGACTTTTCTCTAGCTATATTTGCTTCTTTTGAATTTCTTTCTTTATTTGACCATCAATCTTTGGCACAATGACCAGAGTTCTTGCAACAGTAACACTAAACATTCTTCTTGTCAAACTTCTTCTTTCCCTTCTGGATATTCTTCTGCTTATCAGAGTTTGAAGCTTCTGACCTTTGACCATCATTAGTTTTCTTCCTGGCTTCTGACCAAGTCTGCTTCTGATACTTCTTACCAGAAGTTACTTTCAGATCCTGCTGCTCTACTTCCCTCTCAGAAGTTCTCTCAATCATACACAACTCATGCGCCTCTAGACTGTTGTGCAGCTCTTCAACTCTCATGATGCTCAAATCTTTGGAATTTTCAATTTCTACCACAATGTAATCAAACTGAGAAGTTAAAGATCTCAATATCTTCTCAATGATTACTTGTTCAGAAAGATTTTCTCTACAAGCTTTCATCTCATTAGTGATAAGAATCACTCTAGAGGTGTACTCAAAAACCTTGTTGTTGTCCTTCATGTTTAGATTCTCATATTTCTTTAAGAGACTGAAGCTTCACCTTCTTCACTGATCCGTCACCACTATAACATCTGGCCAGTGTGTCCCACGCAGCCTTTGTTGTTTCAGAGTCAGCAATCTTCTCAAACACGTTCACATCCACACATTGATGGATGTAGAATAATGTCTTCTGATCTTTCTTCCTTAGCATCTTTTACATTATCTTCCGTGCCTCTGTTGCATCTGCTTATAAGGGAGAATAGGCATCAGTGACAAGATCTAACACATCTTGAGAACCAAATAACACACGCATCTGGATCTTCCAACAATTCCAATTTTTGCTATCAAATACTTGAAGCTTGGAATTGATATCGCTGACGTTTCCGTTCATCTTCAACCTTGTGAAATTTACGCAAAAAAACTCCATAAAAATAGTGTTTACAGAATCAAAAAATTACAACCTCACTGTTCACTCGTGTTTCCCGGTGGATTTCGAACTGGAGCTCTGATACCAATTGTTGGTGCACAAGGAGAGATGAAAGACAAAAGGAATATATTTAATGACGACTACAGAATAAGGAATAATGAATTTGAAATGAATTACATTGACTTACCTACTACTAGGTTATTTATACACAAAATTAGGGTATAATAAAAATACTAAAATATCCTCTAACAAAGATATAAAAAGATATAAAAAGATATTCCTAAAATATAAATTATTTCTAACAGTAAAATAGATTGGACTCGTCGATCCGGTCTAGTCCATTTGACCCATTATTTTTGACGGGTTAGGTCAAAGTTTTCGGTTCAATGTCTTAAATCAGTCCGTCACGCCTTACCCGCTTAAAAATGGTGCGGGGGAAGAGTGTGCCGTGGTGGATTTTGTTCGCGGGTTCCATGTCAATTATTTTTACTTAAAATGAAAATTTGGCACTACATTGAGGAGGTCAATCGACTAATTTTTTCTCTCTTTAATGATAAAAGTTGAACATTCTCTCTTTTTATATAAATATAATCTTATTTCATTCTTCCGAAATTACGGTTCTTTCCATTTGTTTCATCTGTTGTTGTGATTATCCCTTCATTCCATTGTTGTTCTATTCGATCATCCAAGCCACCCGTCTATTTTGTTTCCTCCCTCTCCATAGTACACATTTAGGTAAATTTCAATTTAATCTTTCTATTTTTGATATTACATGAATAGTGAGGCAAATACTTAAATACATCAATGAACTTTGTAGACATAACACATTTATAAACGAATTTTAGATTTATTGTAGTTCTAGTATATTATATTTAATCTATCTTGATCTCAAGACAAACTTCACAATAACCGTTGATTATTTTTCTGTTTTTGATATGACTATGCCTTTGAAGTTTTTACATTTTTACTATTTAATGTTTGGATATTAGATTGATTATTGACCTTAATATGCATAATTTTCTCCAATAGATTGATTAATGGTCTTTTACTGGCAGCAAGTTGTTAGGTATGTATCAATGATATATTTTTTTGACAAAAATAATGTGTTCTAAAACATTAATGTGGTCCTTTGTAAATAGAGTTTATTTGTGTACAAAATGTTATCTTTCAAAAGTATAAGTTAACACTCATTAATATAGATCACTCTTTTTTTTTTCTATTTTTGATTGATATGTGATTTATATTTTGGTTTCGAAGTTCATTTCAATTGTTCAAAAGTTCTATTATGCGTTGTTAAAAATCATCTTTTGTCCTCTTCTTTAATAACAATTTTTTTTTTGTAAATTATATAATAAATTAAATTATAAAAAAATTTAAAAAGTTTAACGGATCGGTCCATCAATCCGTCAACTCGTTAATAAATAAGACATATTTGACTTTTAAACTTAAACGCCTAAGTTAATTCACCCCACTCCACTTTTAAACAAATTTAAACGAGACATATCTAAATAGAACGTGCCACCCAATTTACCAACCTTATAAAAAACTATTCAATACTTGATGGAGCATCAACCAACACAATTTAACTGCTAAGATATAGTATTATTTTAAAAAACTTCAACAAATGATCAAAAATTTTAATTTTGATTTTTGGATAAAAATAAATCTAATTAAATAAGAGAGCTAACATTACGTGCCCAACAAAGATTATTCATCATTGAACAATATTGCATATTGTGTATCTGCAACATATTTATACAAAAAAAATCTCTCAACCATTTTTTAATCTACTTATTTCTAAGTTAACAAGTATCGTCATCAATTTTTAATTTTGTTCATAAAACTCTTCATCCGAAAAATTTGGAACTCAATTCTATTTATGTCTCAAGTTGGATAATCAACTTACAAGTCACTCTGTTATAATTAGTTAGCAATATATATATATATATATATATATATATATATATATATATATGAAAATAAAATCTTCTTATTGTATATTTTATATCATTAAAGTATTATTGAGAAAATAAAATAAAAAATTATAAAAAATGGAAAACTGTATAATACTGAACTTAAAAATAAATAAAAATAAAAATTGAGAATCTAATAAAAATAATATTGAATTAAATTTTCTCAAATGCAGGGACTGATGGTGTAGTTGGAATGGTGCTCCCCAAAACTGGAAAAGAAGTTGTTTTGAAACTTAAACAAGGAGATGTCATACCTGTGCCTATTGGAGCTATTTCATGGTGGTTCAATGATGGTCACTCAAACCTTAATATTATATTTCTTGGTGAAACTTCAACTGCTCATGTTCCAGGACAATTCACTTATTTTTTTCTTAACTGGTCTTCAAGGACTTTTAGGAAGTTTCTCTAGTGAATTAATAAGCAAAGTATACAATTTTAATAAAGATGAGGTGACTAAGTTAACACAAAGTCAAAAGGGAGTTGTGATAATCAAGTTAGAAAAAGGCCAACAAATGTCTAACCACAATTGGTATTTTTACTCATTTCATACCTCCTGATTATGTTTCATACCCTCTGACTCATTTACTTTTTTATTTCATTTTCATTTTTATTTTAGTTTATTTTACTTTCATACTTTCTTGTTATTATTTTTATTACTAATATTATTTTTTTATTATTAATAGAAAAATCTAAAAATATTTATTTTATTATTTTTTACATTCATATTTTTTTTCTTCATAAAAAACTAAAAAGAACAAAAACATTTTCTTTTAACAAATTAATTTCTTTTTTATGAATTAATATTTAGGCTTAGGATTAATTACTACATTATTTTCTTTTCTTAATTAAAATTAATTTAGAACTTAGGTTTATTTTGATTAATTAGTTTTCCTAGTATTTTTATCATTTAAAACCTTTTCATGAAAAACCCTAAAAAAATCATTTTAAACTTATTATTCTTTGTTAATTAATTTAGGTTTTAGTTTTAGCTAATTTCAATTAACCATTTTCTTAATTAGATCAAGCTTAAAACCCGTCATAAAAGAATCAAATAAAAAATCATTTATTTTTCCATTTTGCATTCTTGCATTTTGTCTTCAATTTTGTATATTTATTCAATATGGTTGTAATAGTTAATTAGATTTAATTTTCTTACAAAATCCCCATTTGTAAATTTGTATACCCCATCCCCTAATGATGTAATAGCTTAGTATTTTATTTTCTGCAATTTATTTATATATAAATGCTAGTAAATTAGGGTTTGTATGGAAAGATAAAATCAACAAGTTAGCAAACCCTAATTCAAGACAAAAACAATGCATGTAAATCAACACACTTGCACGCTTACACCCTTAAGGTAAATCCACTTTGTTGCCTTATAAAAATGGCCATGTTATGCATGTAGAGTATCTTAGCAAAAAGCAATAAAAAATATAAGATCATAATCCCTCGATGATGCTATCAAATGTTGCCTTTCAAAATGATCTTAGTCCCTCAAAGGGAATTGCTAAGATATTTCACAACATTACTATCATGGCTATACGATGATCCACGCCCGTCCCTTTACATCCAAAGATAGGTTTTCTTACCAAATCAATGGTAAGATAGTAATATTAAAGGAAAGGAAGAAATGAACTAAGACTTTTGAGTAGGTAGACTGTTCCTAGTTACTTGCTCAATTTCAAATCAAAACATCCTTGTTGTGTTCAAAACAAACACCAACACTTTCAAAACATCTTTCAAACTTGAAACATTTTCAAAAGATCAACACTTTGTATACGTTCTTACGAACGAGAACTATTACAAAGTTTGCCTAATCGATGGCGCCTTTTCAAAATATTTTCAAAAACCACACAAAGCACATTTTCAAACAAAAACAAGTGATCTAACAAAAAACTAAGAGCCCATAGATAACTATGGATGAAAAGGATGCTAACACCTTCATTTTTCATAATCTACCCCTCGAACTCAAGAAACAATCTCAAAGGCCTTTCCTGTTCTTTTCAGCCTTTCCCTTTGGATAAAAGAAAATTCGGTGGTGACTCTTGCTAGCCACAATATTTGAGATAAAATGCATAACACCCAAGTCAGTTCTCCCATCGTATCACACATTCTATTTCAACTTAGTGAGAACTAATATTGGTATAGAAAGCAGGCTTAAGGACAAGGTGATTCAATTTACATTTAGTGATTTTAAAAAGTATCTTGATTTGAAGGTCAATGATGGTCCTATTTCTTTAACCGAGGAGAATTTTTATGGGTACAATCGTATTTAATTTGTGATGTCCATCTCCAAGTCAGTTATTGATCTAAGCATGGCAAATTTTCAAATTATTCAGGTAAAATTTGACATGAGACTGTTGCGCACTAGATTTTGGTTAAAATTTTGTATAGGAAACCGAAGAATTCGAATAGAGATGATGACTTTGACCTCTACCTGATATGGTGTCTTACTGATGGAGGAACAATCTGGGTTAGACTAATCATTGATAGAATTATTCATTGCAAGGACAACCTAACCAAAACTTTATTCTATTCATCCTTCGTTTAAATGATTCTAGAAATCAATGAAATTAAATCCAAGGAAGAGGGTTTAGTGGGAGCTCCATTGAGTTTGGATGAGTCTCTGGTATCCAAAATTAGATACTATAGAGACACATATGGCATCTACTACTATCTTAATAAGTTGGGCAGAAAAATATATGACGACAAAGTTATGGAATCAGGAAAGAAATCTACTGTGATTGTTGTTCCTTCTGATATTTGTACATTTTCTTCTTCTGCATATGTTGATATTATGGAGCTCCTTGATGAGATACTTCTGAATTTATTGGATAATAATCATATTAGAGAGGACATGATCATGCCACGTATTGATGCAATGACTCATGATAGTAAGGACAACAAGTCTAGGATGAGGGCATATTTGAAGCTGAGGTAAAAGATGAGGTTATAGATGATGAGAGTCGTATGACAACTCATATTGAAACTTTGAATACTTACATTTAATTACTTGGTGGTAATAATTTCATCATTCATCTGTTGATGTTGCATCAAATGTTAGTACTCTAGTTCTGGATGACATTATTGTTACACCACCTCCTCCTTCATTTCACCCATCTGATGATTTTCCTACTGATCAACCTTGATGTTTTCATATCATGAATTTCATGACACTTAGTATATTTTGGTTTTAATTATGTCATTTTGGATTGACTCATTATTTTGTGATCTCTTGATCTTATTTTGGTTATTATACCATGTGAATACTCTTGATTTAATTCATGTATAATTGGTATCTGTTATACCCCAAAATTTGCCCTCCCATATTCCTCAAGAAATTGCCAAGCCAAGCTAGAAAATTCCCCAAGGGTTGTGCAGTTCAACTGTCTCCTATACAGTCAAAATTAGGGTTTGTGTGTTGATCAAGAAAAGGAAGTGTTCAAAGGTCCAATCAAGTCTCATATGCTTACAAAGATGGTCAAGCATCCTCATATCAAGTTTCAAGGCATTCAGCTCAAGATTGCACAGTCAAAACCCTAAATTGCCCTACAGTCAACTGTAGGGGCAAAATGGTCATTTGGCAGTCAAAAGTTCAAATTTTTGGTCAACCTATCATTTTGAAGCCACAAACATCATTTGATCAATGCTTGATCATGATTCTCAAAGTTTGGCTCAGAAATCATCAAAGATGCAAAAGTTGCTATATTTGGACAGCTGAAAAAAGTCAACTGAAATTGACCAGGGCATAACTTTCACATGGATTATCAGAAAAATTCCATCCAAAGCTCATTTTGAAGAGAAAGACATTTCCTACAACTCATCTTCATACTTCAAATCCAAGAAATGCTCTCACAAAAAGTTATCAATTTCAACATTACAGGTCATTTTCAAAAGTCAACAAAAAGGGACTTTAAGTCAAAGGCCATAACTTGAGATTGGTAAATCAAAATGACATGGGACCAAAGGCATTGGTTAAAGGACTCAAAGACCTTTCCAAAATGTCCAAGAACATGTGAAAAGCTTAAAAATTGAGCAAGTTATGCCTTGTAGAAGTTGGGAAATTTTTGTGAAATGGCAAAAGTCAACTATCCTTGAAAATCCAATTTTGACAAAAAGGCCCCATTTTTCTCACTTTGTCCATCCTTGTCATGCCACACACGTGGCCCATGGTTGATTTCAAGACCAAATGTTGACTTTTTTATTTTATTTAATTTTTGATGATTTAATTCATTTTAATTCATTGAAAATTCAAATAAAATTTAAAAATCAATGAAATGGTGTCATATGAACTTGGACAAGTTCTATGTATCATGAACCAACTCAAAAATCAGGCCAAGGTTCATTTACACACTAGGTCTAGGTTTTGGCTAGAAATTAGGAAAAAATGGTTAATGGACAAACCCTAAGGCCAATTCTCTAACAAGCATGAATTAAGGAGAGTTAGCAAGCCTATTCAATTCTATGATGATCACTGAGTCCAACCCTACCTAGAACATAGCAAAAAGCTCGCTGAAAAAGCCATTGGACATTTGAAATTTTGGCCATAAATTGCAAATCTGAAATCAGTGCTAGGGATCTTTTGAAGCCAAAATTTTTGTATCAATAGCTTCCTGAGATAATTCTGAACGATTTTCAATTGATAATCTCAATCAAAGCTCCTTGAACTGGTAGTTACAAGTGGAACTGTACAGCAAAATTTTTGAATTCGTGTTCTTGATTCTAAGCATCCTTTTGCATTTTTAATTACATATTCATACTCACAATGATGTTTCCAAGCTGACCAATGCATTTGATTTCATTTTTGTGCCATAAATATGAACTTGCCATTTTCGAATTCTAGGGTTCCAGTGTTCTTAAATTGGGGATTTTGAGTATAGGTAAAATTAGAGCTTCAGAACAACACCATCACACTCCATACATCTGGACGAAGAGATCTGCATGCTTGCGCCTAATTTATATTAGGAAACAAGCTATTCGCTATTTTTTCGTAGCTTACCTAATGCAACGTTTCAAAACCGTTGCTTTATTTGTTTGTGTTTCAGGAAATTGGAAGGGATGATGGCGTGGCACAAGCAGACTGGACAATTCGAATTCGCGCGCGCTTTAGTCATTAGGCGTTGGATTTAATTTATATTATTTACATTATGTTATATATTAAATGAAACACAAATGCTTCAGTGGTACAGCTGTTACGCTTGCAATGCCTATGGCCTGGGTTCGAATCCCAGGCCTTGTAAAATCTCAATATCATTTTTTCATTTGAATTCACATGCAGCGCTCACAATGAGACTCACCATACACTTCAACATCAGCTTATCCACGTGTCCCAGAGCACTCACATCAAGGGCAAGGATTGGGAAGCATGCTACGCTTCAGTCAAATGCATTACACTGGATCAAAAAAGTC